TGGTGCATAGCAAGTATTCATAAAAAAGATGTAATGACGAGTTGTTGAAATCTTTGGTTACAGAATAGTTTGCATTTTCTTGAAAAGTAAGATACATAAATATGCATGCACACAGGAGTTCTGAAAGAGCACATACCAAAATATCAGTAGTAGTTACCACTGAGGAGGAATGGAAGGCAAAGTAAAGGAAGAGACTATCACTTTTTGCTTTGTACATATCTAGGTTTTTGTTGTGGTGGTGATGGTAGACATTTTGTTTTTTGCATTTCTTCAGCAAATGTGCCACTTTGTAATTTTTAACAGCCATTATTTCTTTAATCATTTTGAGCCTACTTTTTATAGGCTTTATAAACTTTCTTTGTAAACTTTGGACAACCAGGGTTTTGTTTTTTTGCTTGACAGAATGTTTTTGATTCAATGGAGATATCACACTGATTTCTCAAAAAGAAACTTCTGAGACCTAGGTTACAATGAACTAGAAGACAGACAGAAAACTGGCTTAGAGCATGGGGTAGTTGTGTGGTAAGTCTGGTGACAAATTACCTGTGTTCAGTGGTAATCAGAGCTTTAGTTTATGTATGCACATAATAGATATTATGTAGATACTTTGCTCATTATTAAAGAAAAAGAACTAACATTTGCAAAGAGTTTATTATGTACCAAATATTTTATACCTGAAATGTCTTTCAATCCTTCAGGTAAATATTATTTTCATTTCAGAGAGAAAGAAACCAAAGCTCAGAAAGGCTAAGTAAATTAATCAGGACCAAAACACAAGATTGTAAAATAAAAATAATTTGTGTTAGTTTACCATTTGACATGCTGCGAAATTGGTGGCAGCCCTGTCACCTAATAGTAGATAAGCAGATTGATAATCTTATCTATCAAACTGTAGATCTCCTGGATAAGTCTTGGTATTGGGAGGGTAAGAGAGGGCAAGCTTTATAACCTAGTTAGTTATAAGAGAATACAGCCGAGAATGGTTGACAAATGAACGAACTGTGTAAACCAGGATCTCTGAGTTGCTAATCCTACACAATCTCATTTTTTAAATTTAAAATTGAAGTTGATGTTCAGTTCACCAAAGTGTCAAGATAAGACATATAGTTTGTGTCTAAAGTGCTATATATCGAGATAATTATTTAATAATCTTCCTTCATGAACTGTGGAGCTCTCTATTGAGAGCATTTGTGGCAGCCAAGCACATCCTTCAATAAAGCTTTTGTTCTCTTTGTTAATCTTGGAAAAGTTTGAAAGGTTTTTAAATTGAGACTTTTTTTTAATCCAGTCAACGTTTATTAGAGTCTTATTCATTTTACACTTGAGGGAAAACAATGGTGTATTTCAGAATATTGAGGTCCTTAAGGATGAAAAGAGAAAACGTTTGCTCCACTTAGAGTGTTATAGATGACGTAAGGACACTTGAACCTCTTTTCCCCCCATCTAGGAAATAAGTGCTTTGGAAAATATGAAAAATGAGAATTTTCATTGTCAGCAATAGGAGGAAAAATTCAATTTATAGAACGATTTTAATATTTATGAAACTCATGAAAACTTGAGCAGCTGTATGTCCAAAATTATAGAGAACATGCTGCTTTAGTTTTGAAGATGGATTGAAATTGTGCCTGGATAAAGGGACTTTTCTTAAGATAAGCTCTTCCTTGCTTTATGATAGTTGAGAGTATGTATAGACAACCATTTTTAATAAATTTAAGGTGTGTACTATATTAATTACCATTGTTTTAAGTTTTGTTTTTGAAGACTAAGAAAGAATACAAAGTACTTTATGGCACAAGTACCTAAGTACCTGTTTTACCTCTTTGGATGCTGGTAGACCACTTGTTTTGCTAGTCTTTAGAATTGGAAGGAGTGTCAAATACACAGAAGCCAGAGTCATCTTGGCCAGATGGTGTTTGATACAGATGGATGGTTAGTTGTCATGCAGATCTCTTAGTTGGTAACTTGTTGCTGCCATCTGACTCAAAGAATCACTCACACACACTGGCTGTCAAAAGCATCTTCTCTTCTGTCTGTTTTAGCTGTCATGTCTATGCTCTGTACAGAAGTGTTGACAAGACATTGCTGTTGTACATTTTCAATGTGGTTGTTAGAGATTTTTCTGTTTTGTGGGGTCTTTGATAGTGCTGGAATGTACTTGCTTTGCAATTGTTTTTTAAAAAATACTGTGACAGTGCAATAATTACCTGACCTTTTAAAAGGACTTTTCAGGTTATAAGTTCCATTCAGTAAACAAAAGCATTTAATTTAAAAAAAAAAAAAAAATTTCTTTCTTTTAGTTTCCAAACTGAATTCTACCTGGTTATTTCCCAATCTGATATAATATCCTCTGGACTTTCCCTCTCATAGCCTTATGGTCAAAATCTTTATACTATTTTCTGAATATGTGTTTTTCTCTTCTCAAATTAGTAACTTTTTTTTCTGATGGTATAAATTTCCCTTTTTTTCAAAAAAAAAAAAAAACAGACATTGCCTATTTTTTGCATTTATTTTCTCAAACGTTACTTCCTTCTGTCTTATTCACCCACTGACCTTGTCTCCACTTTTCCTGTTTCCCTTATGAAATGTAAGCATAGCCTTTTCTCCGTTCTCTCTGGTCACTTCTGAAGGCATGTCTATTTCTAGGATATTCCTTTAACAACTTAAAGTACTTTATATATTCAAGTAATGTTTACTGAGCATCTCAGTATGTGCCAGGCATTCTGCTATACTCTGGAGATATCAGGGGAAAATAGACTCTGCCCTTGAGGAGGTCATAGTTTGAAGGGAAATCAGACATATAGACAGACTAGAATACTGTAATTTCTTTAAGTATATGGAAAGAGCAGTGAGGGAATATGGACCAATGCTACCCTCTTTTCCTTGCTATACTGTCAAAGTATTAGTTTTGAAATTAATATAGAATTTGCTTAAGTTTTTAAAGTACTTTATTAAGTGCTTTAAGAAATAGTTCAAAACTTCAACTTGAAATAGTTGTTGATCTATTGATTTTTCTAAGCTAATGAATACATTTTCAGCATTATTCATTTATTATATTATATACAGATGTGTTAAAGTATGTTTTTAAGCCAGAAACTAGAAGATGAAAATTACCTGGCAAAAGCTTTTTGAGTTGGCTCCAAAAGAAAATACAGGTCACTTGGTTTTACATTAAGTTGGGAAAAAAATATGTATAGTAGATGGAGAATGGACTGAAGCTCGAATAAACTTACACATTTATACTAGGCCTATTTCTAACTTGCTAAGTTTTTTGTGCTGGTTACTTAATGTCTGAGTAATAGAATATACATACCTATCAAAATATAGTGAAAGAATGGGTAATTATTGGTCATTGTTTGTGAAGAGCTTTGAATTCTTTGGAGAAAGTTCTAAATACACAGAAATAGATAGAGAAAACTGTAACATCAACTTCTTTTCTGATTCCTCAGCCCTGGTGGCTGTGTGTAGCCCAGGTAAATTTAAGGTTATACAGAATTTGCTGTAGATGTTTGAATCCTTTCAGTCAATCTACCTACTCTTTCTAGAGCCTTGAATGTAAATTTATATAAGATGTCATGTCCTGGGAAATCTGACCCTAGACTGGATTTTGGTATCAAAGATACAGTTCTGATACTCAGTCATAGGGCTTATCGTCCTGACAGACTCACAAGGTTAATTCTTCTACTTGTAATAATAAAATTTACTTGGATTTTTTTAAACTTAGATTCTTTATTTCCTTAAATTTTGTTTTCAATAAGCATGTACTGAATACCTCCTATAATTATGTTGCAGAGCTCTATAGGAGTATCAGGTAATGTAAGACTGCACTTAGGCAACATGTAATGATGGCACATCACTTGGGTTATTTATCAGCTCTCAGTTATGTTTGAATTGTATCATAAAACGTGACCTTTTATTTGGGAAAATGTGGGGTTTTGCTTTAATTTCTTAAGCTAATTTATTTTGGGAATCTGGGAACAGCTGTGTGATTTATAAAGAACTTTAGGCTTATTCATCTCTGAAAACAATAGAGCTTAACTGATTTTGAACTTTGATTATGAATCAACTCAAAATCAAATATTTAGTGTCTACCAAAGTACATTCTGAGATTATTAGGACCCCATTTCATGTTTCAGGGAAATTATAATTTAATAATTTGTTTATTTGTTCCTCCAAATGTAGAAATTGGTCAAGAATCCTCTTGTTTTTGGTAATATAGTTTTAAGACTGATACTAATTTGATAACTGTAATGCAACATTTTCAGATTCGCTTGAAGGTTTACAGTGTCTGTATTCTCTAATGAAAACTTGTGTCTTCTTTCATTGCTTAATTTTCACAGCCATTGAAATAAAATAGCAAGATGAATAGATTAAAAATACAAGGAAAATTATGGTATTTAAGATATTCACTAAAAATTAACCATGTGTTTCCTTGACTTCTTAAAACTTTTAGAAAAGAAGTTTATAATCAATATAATTTTATAATTTGTACACGTTCCTTTAGTTTTCATAGTGTCTTAGTGAGTGCCACTTCTTTTTTGTTTTTGTGCTCTAAAAATAAATTTTGTGCTCTAAAAATAAATAAGTATGTTTATTTAAAAGACATGAAATCTTACCTTTTTTTAAGTTAGTGGGTATTTTTATAGAATAACAAGATAGCATTCATTTTATCGTTCATGCCCTTTTTGTTATCATTAAGGATTAAATCTAAATTACAATTTGTATCCTAACTGAAGGACCAAAAAACCATATGTTGAACTCTTAACTGAAATTTTCCTTAAGATGATTTTTAAAATTTTACAGTGTTTCAAGTGTTTTAAATTACAGATGTTTGTAATGATTATAAATACATTGCTGGAGCCAGTTTTTAGCTCATATATAAATGCTCAATACCTAGGTGAAAGCAATATGGGCAACTTATATCTATATAATCATTAATAGACAGTAAATGTATATACATATCTTTCAGTAAATATCAGACTAACTGGTTTTTATATCAACAGACTGAGAACTATGAGCTGAGAATACGTGAGCAACAGAAACAGCTGTCACTTCAACAAACTATTATTGACAGGCTAAAATCACAGTTACTTCTTGTAAATTCCAGTCGAGGTATGTTCATGTAAATTTTTGAACCACTTCTAGAAAAGAAAGGTGGAAGTCAAGTTTTTCTATTTTATTTTTCCTTTGTTTATCAATAGTTCTCACATTTTAATAACTGTGGTACAGTTACTTACTATGTTTATTTAAGAAATTAACACTTGCAAGATATGGGAAAATGGACATTCACATATACTATATGGTGGAACTCTAAGTTGATAAAACTTCCTAGAAGACAATTTGCCAATAAATAACCAAAGCTTTTTAAAATGTCTGCCTTTTAAACCAAAAATTTAAGTTCTAAAAATATATCATAAAAAAATATTTGCTCAAGTACTCAAAGATAAGTATGCAAGGATGCTCATCACAGCAAAATTTCTAAAAATGGAAAAACTAGAAATAAAGAAATGTCTAACAGATAAATTATAGTCGTTCATATAATGAACAGCTAGGTAGCCAAGAAAAATGATGATAATAGATTAACTTACTAACATGACATGTACTCATGATATATAGCAAAATGAGCAAAACACAATATAAAAATAAGTTTTATTTGTGCAAAAGAAATTATTGTGTGAATTTATATGTATAAGAAAAGAAAAAGTCTGATAAAATATAAGCCAAAATGTTAACAGGAATAATTCACAGATGATAAAAATTGCGGGCAGCTTTATTTTTTATTCTTTTTAACATGTCTGCATTTTCTAGTAGTTATACAAATGATTATCTTAAACAAGAAATGCATACCTAAAAATGTGACTTAAATCAAAGTTTAATTGTTATTGCCGGTGGTTAAGCTGCAAAGAACATAATTCTAGTTTTCTAAATTCTATATATTTTATATACCACTAATTTTATTAGAGTAAGGGCTTTGTGTGTTTTTTGGGGGGTGGTGGAGGGGAATAGCAAGCAAATATGCCAAAATCTGAATGGCCAAATCTAAGTTGTCAAAGTAAGTATTTTCTAAAGAATTTTTAAAATTTATAATTTAATAACTCTTTAAAATTAGGGGTTTGGGTTTGTAGTCTTTTTAGTTTTCCAAGTAGTAGCAAAAACAAAGTTTTCCTACTTATGTCCAAGAGGGTTTTGTTTTACAGATAATGGTTATGGCTCTGTTCCCCTGCTTGAAGACAGTGAAGCAAGGAAGAATAATTTGACTCTTGATCAGCCACATGATAAAGTAAAATTGGGAATACCAAGAGAAAAAGAATCAAAGGTAGACTGCACTGCTGGCTTATTCCCTAAAGGACATAAAGAATGAGAAATTAGGTTCCACAGACTTCCTGTATTATTTAGTCAGTATTCTGTCATAACTTGGGTGGGCAGGAATGGGGGAGAAAGTGGATAAGATTCTTTTTAACCCTAACATTGCTTCTGCAAAAAAGCAACATTCAAATGCTGATACATAACACATCTTCCTCATTTTATTTTCCTGAGATGGACCCGCCACTGAAATTCTAAACAGAAGTTCTTTTAAACAACTTACATGTTTCTAAGTAGAAGCAATATTTCCAAATAAAATAAAAGCTTAGGTTTCATATTTTTAGTGTTCTCTTTTTGATATCACCAGCATTTAATAAAGAAATAAAAGATCAAGCTAAAATAGCTATTAAGACACAGATGTTCCTGGATTAGAAAATAGAGTTCTAGTTTTTTCCTCAATTGCCTGTGCTTAAATTAAACCAAAAAAAAATCCACCTAACCAGCTTAAGGAAAAGTCTTCATTGAAACAATATAGAAAAGAATATTCCCTATCTGCAAGGAGACAGATACAAAGATATACTACCTAAACATCCATCAGTTAGAAACAGCCTAAATATCCATCAGTAGCAGAATGCTACATCATTGCAATAAAACACTTTAGAAAAATTTAAATAAATATTTATATGTTAATATTCCTAGATTTTTAAAAAATATTGAGTAAAAAATGGAAATTTTAAAATGACAAAATAGGAATAATTTATGTACATTTTCAAACATAAGCAGTATGACATGGTTCATAAAAACAGATATGTAGTAAAAGTACAAAAACATAGATAGGAGGGGTACACATCTTTAGAAAAATGATCACCTCTACAGTTGAGGAGAAAAGAGATTGATTCTGGGAAGGCGATAAAAGAGACTTCAGTTGTATCTATATCTTTTTTTAAAAAAAAACAAAAAGTTCTTAAATATGGCTGAATGTTACCACTTCTTAAATCAAGGTAGTGAATATCTAGATGTACATGTTATTCTCCATGTTATTCTGAATCATTTAAATTTTATGTTTAAAAAGAATTCTTTAAATGAGATGAGTTGGATTTTAGTGGGATGAAACAGCTTTTGAGTAAAATAAGATCTAACAAATGAAGACTCTTAACAGTTACAATACCAATTAAGTCAAGAGTGCTTTATTTCCTCCTTTCCTCTTAAATGTAGATTTTAGCTTTGTGTGTCGGGTTATTCTGTTATTGATCTCATAATTAAGTCTATCTTAACGTTTTTATTTAACATCAAATCTGAAAAATTCTATTTCGATACTTTCTATAAATGAAAATTTCAGAAAGAAAAGTTTCTTATCATATCTCTCAGTTCATATTTTTTAATTCAAAATCTTTTTTTTTTTTTTAATTTGACTCACTCGGCTTTTTTTATTTGACTCTTCACCCCCACTCCAATTTCCATTTATCTTAAAATGCTGATAAATACAAGAAACCATGGCACTGGAATACGTTCAGGTTTATTTTGCAAAAGATGAAATTCAGAAACAATGATTCTGACTTTTTTAAAGTTTTTTTTTATTGAATTTTATTTTATATTAGTTTCAGCTGTGCAGCACAATGATTAGACATTTATATAATTTATGTAGTGATCCCCCTGATTAGAGTAGTACCCACCTGGCGCTATACATGATTATTACAATATTTTGACTCTATTCCTTATATTCCACATCCCCGTGACTATTTTATAACTAGTAGTTTGTACTTCTTAATACCTTCATCTTTTTTACCCAGCCCCCCGAGCTCCCTCCCATCTAGCAATCACCAGTTTGTTCTCTGTATCTATGAGTCTGTTTTCATTTTGTTTGTTCATTTATTTTGTTCCTTGGATTCTACATATAAGTGAAATCATTTGTCTTTCTCTGTCTGACTTATTTCACTCAGCATAATATCTTTTAGGTCCATCTATGTCATTACAAATGGTAAGATTTCATTTTTTTATGGCCGAGTCATATTCCATTGTATATGTACCATAACTTCTTTATCCAGTCATCTTTCGATGGGCACTTAGGTTGCTTCCATATCTTGGCTATTGTAAATAGCGCTGCAGTGGACATAGGGGTACATAAATCTTTTCAAATTACTGTTTGGGTTTTTTGGGTTTTTTTGTTTTTTTTGTTTTTTTGATAAATACCCAGAAGTACAATTATGACTTGTAAAATACAGTTTTATGATTCGGTCTATACAGTACATTACAATCATTGAACTGCTATAAAATGCTGACATAAATTTAGTGCTTAAGTAAACAATATTTACAGTCCCTTTTCGTTTTTCAAGGACTTCTAAATGTCATTTTTACCATTAATTTTTAATCAAAGTTCTTATATTTATTCTAGTTATAACATTTCTCTGAAGATAATATCTCTAGTTCAAAATATATTAAAGGTATTTTTGAAAATAGTCTTGGTTAGAACAAAAGGGATGATGTGAAAGACTACGATATGTCAATAATTTAGTTTATTTTAAAATTGGTTAATTTCATTATTTATGAAAGTTTTAGTTTATTTTTCAGTCAGTAAATATTCAAAAGGAACCTTCAACAGAATTCATTTTTAGTTACATTTGTTTGAATTTTGTAAGATGCCTTTTATCTATAAAATATATATTTAGGTACCTAGCCTGAAATTAAGGATAAGTAGTAGAAATCATGTCAGAGATAGCTTATTTACAAAGAATTACTAATGTTACATCAATTGTAGCTTCATTTGTGGACAGACATTAAGAGAAAAAAATAGAAAGCTCCTAGTAAGAAATAAGTCAAAATTTAGTGAGTTCTCTTAATTATCTTTACTAATAGGGGAAAGATTTATGTGACAGCCACATATTTAATACTTTGAATAGCTCATCAACTCAGTCTTCTTATTCTGTAACCATTTAGTAAAAATAAAAAGCAACTGTCTTGAATTTTAGCTTTCTCATCTTCCACTGTATATATAGATCCAAAGTGCTAATAAGCACTGGATACATAAGGAATCAAAAAGAAGGAGAAGTATATTCTAAAAGAATTTATTGAGAATTTGAGAGCTGGCTGTATATTCATTGTAAAAATTTAGGTCTAATTTAGAAAAATACTGGCCAATCAAGCAATTGAAATTAAAATTTTTCATTGGCCTATGTCGATCTATACTTATTGAGTTATAATTAAATTCACTAGTAGCTAATAGAAGTAAAATCCTTCTCTAAAAATCTTTGAATGATTTGGATATATTAGAGTTTTTCTAAAATGAAAAAAATTTGTATTGATTGGTTTCAATTTTGTAAAAGTATGCATCTGCATATAAGACAAGAACTAGAAGGCAATATGCAGAAATAGCTAAGATAATGGTATAATTTATTTTTTTCTATTGTTAATATACTTTTATAAGTCTTCTCAAAAATTGATTTCTGGAAATCATTTTTCCAATCAATTGGCCTAGCCTCTGTAATGAATTAGTACATTAATAGGAATGCTTTGAACCAGTAACAGAAGGAAGCTACTACTAACCACTCTTTCTTCCTCCTGTTTGGTGGGTGGTTTGAGGATTTGTTTTCTTTAGACTATTTATTTTGCTTCAAATTTGGTTAGAATATTTGAGAGGGGTAAGACCCATGCACATTATGGCAAATGGCAACTATGGCCTCCTCGGTGAATGAGACAGAGAGTAGAGGATAGAGTTATGTTGAAAGGAAAGAGACCCTTTTAGAAAATTTTATTAGAAAACACGAAATTTATAGTTCAGCCTCCGTTCATGCTAATCCTACACAAACAGCATGCAAGAATGCTTTGACTTGTAAAAGACATCAAGAAGTCAAGATAACAGAGCCTGTATCATTGGCCTTCCCTTAGTACTCTGCTTATAGTTTAGAGACATTAGAGAAGTACTCAGTTTAATGGAAAACTTTCACCTCTTGTTCACCATAGTAGAACGCACTGTCTTCCTTGACAAGATATGACTTTGGTAAAGGGGGCATTGTATTATCTATCAAGTCGTATATCATATATATCTATTATGTAACAAAGCACCCCAAATTTACCTAAAAACTTAACAAATATTTACTATCAGTTTCTGTGGGTCAGAAATTTGGGAGTGACTTAGCTGGTTCAGAATCTCATGTGACTGAAGTCATGAAGTGGGCAAGGGCTTCAGTTATCTATAGGCTTGACTGAGGTTGGAGGATCCACTTCTAAGATGGTATACTCATGTGACTAATGGCAGGAGACCTCACCACCTGGACCTCTTTTCACAACCTAGCAGATAACTTCTTCAAAGTAAGAAAGTAAGAACAAGAGAGAGAGCAAGGAGGAAGCCACTGTGCTTTCTATGATCTAGTCTTTAAAATCACATACCTTCCTTTCCATTTTATTCTTTTCATTAGAAATAAGTCACTGAGTTCGCCAGAGACAAGGAAATAGCTCCTCCTCTTGAAAGGAAGAATATCAAAGATTTTGTAAACATATTTTAAAAGCATCATAGGGATTGTAGATTGTGGTGTACAGAAGAGAGAACCAAAGATCAAGGGTGTATTGGAGGACCTAGTATTTAATTTACCATATGATAAATATTAATGAAAGGTAAAGGAGGTTGGCAGAATTTAATAGCGAATTCTACTACTTGAATCCTATCATTATTCTCAGTAGAAGGAAATATAACTTATCATTTTAACAATTTCAAAAGTCCTAATATGAATACAGACTTTCCAGAGGAAACTGGCTAAGCAGTGGTTTAGAGAACCAAGAAACAGTTGCATATTATTGCTAATTCTTTTTTATAACCAATTTTAAAAATTAAAAATATTTGTATATATGAAATCTAATAACAAAAATGCACACACTTATTTTTGGCAAAGACTATTATCTCTTGTTTGTAGGACACCGTTATCAGACATAGTAACAAATGTCATGATGGCAGTTATTTTTTTTGTTTCAAATCTCAGTAGGTTATAACTAAAATGCATTTATAGCTTTTTAATTTAATTA